TCTGCAATTGTTTGAGGAACCTCCATAACATTTTCCATAGAGGCTGCACCATTTTGCAGTCAAAAGGTGGGTACTTTTAAAGGTGATTTGATTGTGGCAACCATGCCCTCGTGAATGGATTAGTCCATTCATGAAGTAATGGGTTAATAGTGTAGTGGATTGTCATGGGAGTGGCACTTGTGGCTTTAGTAAGTGAGCATGCTAAAGAACTCTTGCCATAATTGCCATGTGATTGCCTGTGTCACTATGGGACTTGGTACAGAGATTCCATCAAGAAGAAGGCCCTTGGGCCGGCCTGTGGCTCACTCGGTAGAGTGCGGTGTTGATAACACCAAGGCCACGGGTTCGGATCCCATATATGGGATGGCCGGTTTGCTCACTGGCTGAGCGTGGTGCTGACAACACCAAGCCAAGGGTTGAGATCCCCTTACCGGTCATCTTTTAAAAAAAAAAAAAAAAAGAAGAAGAAGGCCCTCACCAGATGTGTCCCCTGGACTGTAGACTTCCCAGCCTCCAAAACAGTAAGAGATACATTTAATTTCTTTATGCATTACCCAGTTTCAGGTATACTGTTATAAGTGACAGAATGGAGTAATACACATACAAACCTCACACCTGAGCCAGTTTTACAAGGAATTCTTCCCTTGCCTATAGTCTTCCATATACTGTGGATGCTCACAGGCCACAAACAGGTTTGACTTACCTTGAATATCTCCGTACCTGACTCACATGATAGGAGCTCAATAAATGCTCAGGAAGTAAGCTGGATAGTGCATGTAAAGCGGATCTCCCATTGAGGTGCTGAACATGGGAAGACACCCAACCCAGATGAGATCCGAGGAGCAGTAGAAATGAGGGTAGACAAAAGAACAGAAAAGGAGACTGAGGAGAAAGGGTGCAGAGGGCAAGGAAGCTCTGGGCGAGAGTCACCCCCAACACTGGTGGAAAGGAGGCTCCATCTGCGTTGAAGGTCCCAAAGGTGCGTCAGTGGGTTCAGCTAGAGCAAAAGGATAGGGGTCGGTGACCAGGAGTCCTGAGTGAGAAACCTTTTCATCTTCCCTGTCTGTGCTTTTGAACAGTGTTCTTGAATGGCAGCTGCCAAGACATAGGATTCCTTAGCCCTGTTCCCTGCTGTATTCCCCAGAGACATTTGATAATGTCGACTCAAGGAAAAACCACAAAATAGGTCGATGACAACTTATGCTCCTGTGAATTCTGAAAGAGTCAATTCTTCAAAATGGATCTGCAACAGCCTGAACAGAAGTGACTCCATTTTGTTAAACTTCTAAATTAAAGGTTTTGTTTTTTTTCTTGCTCTTGTAACTCTTACGACATAGCTCACAGCTGGACATTAGAATACAATGATTCTTGTTCACATGATTGCTAGAACATAATGACTGTTGCTCCTGCTGTACATAGAATAATTATAGAAGAAATTATTAACCCAGATGGCCATTCTTTACTAGTTTACTAACTATATCTTTTTCAGGTTAACAGGAACTGAATCTGTGACTTCATGGAGGATGGTCACATGAATCAGCTCCCACCTGAGAAGTTCTTTGATGTTTACATGCAGTTTTATGATTATGCCTGTATGTCCCCGCTTAGATCACCATGAATCAGCCCCCTACCACCTGTCCTTATAAAACCCTTTGGCAAGTCTGGGAGAAGTGGAGATGGTCTTTGAGACATAAGTCCACCATTTCCACAGG